TTCGTGTAATATTGACTATAAATTCTGTCTACATCAGGTGCACCACTATTAAGTTTCTTTGTGCTCCACACAATGCAGATTCCCCCCCACCCCCAGCTCTGGTACTCTTGGAGATCCCATCTCACAGAAGCTGCCTCTGGAAGCACATGGGAGCCACTGGGGACCCAGCAGGCTGAAGGGAGCTGCCTCCAGGTGTGCAGGGGGTTTGGCTGCTGAGGTGTTTTGTTTCCTGCAGTAATTCAGTGGTTACACGTCCCTGTTGTTGTGCATTCCTGAGGTCTCTGTGGTGTAAATTGATTTCAAGGTCACTTCCTAGAAAACCCTGCCAAGGAGAAACAGGAGTAGCTGTTAGAAAGATCCTGCCTGCTGGCCATGTCCTGTGGCTCCTGTAGGAGCAGCAGTGACACAGCTCCCAGAGAGGAGGGCAGGAGCACTCTGACACCCCGGGGCTGGGGGTGTGCAGGGCTTGCTCTGCAGGGGAAGGGGCTGAGCAGGTGGAGGGGGGTAAAGGAGGGTAATTTCCTCTTTTCTCCATGGCTGTGAGGCTTTAGATTGTCACTTTTGGGGTTTGACACTTGTGGTTTTGTGTTATTTGTTCTTGTTTGGCATCTGGCTGACCTTAGGAGTACTGTCTTCTCACAGATGTGGGGTTTGTACTGGTTACTGAGTATTTAGCCAGCAGGTCAGAACACTTCCAAGCATGGCTTCTTGCATTGTTCTCAAGCTCTCCTCTCACAAGCTGATTTTCACTTTTCAGTGTTGGTCCGTAATCCATTTGGGATGGATATTTACCAGAGCAGGTAAAACCACTTGGATGTATTTCCCAGGAGATCCCAGGGCAAAAGCTTGGTCAGAGCACTCTGCTGATTTCACAGTCAGCTGTATCATTGCTAGTGATTGCTCCTTGTAATTAATTATTTGTCAGCTTCAGTGGCACTAAGGGGTCTTTGTTGGGATGCAGAGGTCACTGTAACCAGTTGGAAATCTCCTTATCCTAGTTTGGGCTCTCTTCAGTGTGAAAGGAAAATCTGACACTATTGAACCTTTGAGATCTTTGACTTTCCCTGCATGTTTTAACTTTTCAGCTAGAAATTGTTTCACTTTTTTTTTTTTTTTTTTCCATAATTTGTTATAGTTCTAAGCAAAAGATCTTGATGAGTTCAAACAGATTCCAGGTCCCTCTGTCTTCACTCAGCCCTCTTGTGAAATTTAACGTGTAATTTCAGTTTCACAACTGCAGAGATTTAAATTACTCTTTAACGGTTGGTCACAGTCCACTACAACAAAAGCACTGATTTTTGCAATGATTGTTTTGTCAGAAATCTGGGGAAAACCAACTTGATTTAGGGAAGGACACTGGTGGGCCTGAGCCAGCACCTCTTGTGGAATGGTTGGTTTGGGTATGAGGTGTTAATCCCACAGATTTAGAGGAAGGGAGGGAGTGGCTTCACGGTACCATTAATTTTATTAGATATGTATTTGATATATATCTGATTCTGTTGGAGACTTTAGTCATCCCAGTGTCAGTCTGAAGTGCAGACCCACAGCAGAGCACCCAGTGCTGGCACTACACTGCTGCTGTTCCTTCTGGGAAAGGAGAGGCACAGAAGGGAGTGACAAATCCTAGTTCCTGTATCCTGCTCTGCACAGAGTTCCTGCAGGAAGGAGCTGAAAGATCAAGTGCAGGCAGCCAAAGCATTGAAACTATTAATACTAAGTGCTGTGTGCCTTTCATTTCTCTGGGATGTTCTGTTGTCCACCTTGGACTCTGCAGAATCCCAGAGGAGACATAACAGCCTTGTGATGGCTTGAAAAAAATTAAGTATTTCTCTGTCTTTATAAGCTCCCTCAGTTTCCCTGTTGCAGCAATGGGCTGTTGCACAGAGAGGAGGATTTTGGTAAGAGGATTCTGCTGGGTGCAGAAATGGGCTGCTCTCCTGCTGAGCTCAGTCTGCAGGGATGGAAAGTCTGGGTGCTCTGGGAACAGAGACGTAAGAGCCTTGTGATGGCTTGAAAAAAAATTAAGTATTTCTCTGTCTTTATAAGCTCCCTCAGTTTCCCTGTTGCAGCAATGGGCTGTTGCACAGAGAGGAGGATTTTGGTAAGAGGATTCTGCTGGGTGCAGAAATGGGCTGCTCTCCTGCTGAGCTCAGTCTGCAGGGATGGAAAGTCTGGGTGCTCTGGGAACAGCTTTGCTGTGACTGCAGCGTGGGGCTTCAGCTGTCCTTCATGTGATCTCAGGCATCTTCCCTGCTGTATTTTTAGAGCTGTTGTGCAAAGAAGATTAGCAAAGGACTTAATATTGATGTGGATATGGATTCTTTGTCAAATATGGCAGTGTTCCCCCTATTTAGGCAATGTGTTTGGGCTCGTGTCACAGTTATATCACCAGGCTGTGCACTGCCATGTGCCTCTGCCCTGGCCTCTCTTCCTGCTCCAGATGTTGTTTAGCTGACTGAAAAAGTGGCTGCACTCTTAGTCCTGGTCTTAGTTTTGCTGGATCTAATGACAATTTATTAGGGAGCCTGTTTCCAGTTGGATCAAGTCCATACTTAGTGGAAAAAGAAGCAGCTGGGAGTTGAGATCCAGTGGTTTCCCTTCAGATGGGAGCCACAGGCACCTGGGCTCAGTGGTGGTTTCAGACTGGCTCTTGTGGTGAGGGGGCACTTAGAGGTGAAGCTGTTCAAGGGAGGCCTTTGGAGGGTCCTGGTCCCACTAGAACAGCTCTTGTTTGTCTGGAAACTCCCTCAAATGTTCCAGGCACAGCTGCACCCCTGAAAGAGCAGAATCACAGAATAATTTTGGAGGGAAGAGATGGGAAAAGACCTTAAAAGCCTATCCCCTGCCATGGGCAGGGACAACTTTTGCTGTCCCAGGGTGCTCCAAGCCCCATCCAGCCTGGCCTTGGACACTTCCAGGGATCCAGGGGCAGCCACAGCTGCTCTGGGCACCCTGTGCCAGGCCCTAAACACCCTCACAGGGAACAATTCCTTCCCAACATCTGATTTAAGTGTGTCCTCTTTAGTTTAACACCCTTTCCCATTGTCCTAGCGAACTGTCCACCCTTGCTGTGGAGTTAATTGGGGCAGCCTTCTCTCAGGGAGGGCTTTCAGTGACACTTTGTGCAAGTGTGCTAAGGGCACATGTATGGAGTGACATGGGACAAACTGCCCACAAGCAGTTGCTAAGTTTTCTGATATCCCAGTGGCCTCTGAAGGTGTTCTCAGCATGCACTGCCCAGCCACTTGGGACTCCAGTAACTTAGAATGGGTGGCCTAAAGAGATACATTTTGTATGTGCAGGAACAGAAGGGACCAGCAAGGTGAAGGCTTTGGCCTCAGGATAGCCCTGGAAGGTGGTTTGGAGTCTGGAGGGTTGGGACAGGGCAGGTGGAGGCACAAATAGGAAGTGGTGACTCTGCCTGAGCAGGTGAATGGGTTGGCAGGTTTAGGGAGGAGAGCAGGAGCTGAGGTGTGCAGGCCTCCTGGCACCAGGAGAGGATGGCTGGGAGCATCCTGTGGCAGTACCTGACACAGGTCCATGAACTCCCATCCTAACAAATTAAGCTGCTCAAAGCAGTGAGCGTGCTTCTCTTGGCTGGAGCCAGGTGGATCTGTGTTGGAAACAGTCACTTACCACGGGAATTTTGGATTTGTCTAAACTGGTTTTGTTATTGCTGTGATGAGGAGTGAAAAGCAAGGGAAAGGTTCTCTGGGAAGTGTGGCAAAACAAGGAGGACGTTGCTGAGGGACTGGGAGAGCAGGGTTTCAAACCTGTGTGCTCTGTTCTGGCCAGGACTCCAGCTGGCAGCTGTCTGCACTTCCCTCCTGATACTGGAGCAACATGATAATCTGAAATAGCTCCTTTCCCGTCCAGAGGTCCGGGAGCAGGAGATATGGAATGTGTCCTTAAGTGCCTGGGCTATTTTGGGAGCAGGGACATGAATCTGTGCAGGGGCATCCAGGCTTTGCATGGCTGTGCTAATGGGGAGCTGACAGCCCAGCCCGGCTCCAGCATCAGCACATCAACGTTTGCTTTTGGGACAGAGAACTCATGAATATTTTTATTTTTCTGTGCTGTATAAAATGGTGGTGTCTTCTGGAAGGTGGGAAGATGACAGCAGTTCCTAGAGGAATTGGCAGAAACATCTTAGGATGGAAATGTGGAGCTCTGAGAGCCCACTGGAAGGAGAGCACAGGTTCTCTTCCTGGAGCAGCTGCAGTGGAACTCTGGGCAGCTTGTGCAGCTACCACGTATTTGCAACAGCAGCACAACATGCAAGAGGTTTTTCAGAAATCCAAGGAAAACATTCCATCCTGCAAACATCTTAGAATACAGTAAGAGATGAAGAAGTTAGGGAAGGAGCAGCATCAGCAGGTACTGCTCATGCAAGTGCCAGGCAAGACTAGATTTCTGCTAGAGCTGCTAAAGAAGCTTTGGAGAAAGGGCTTTTCACAGAGATGTGCTAATAGAACAGGGAACATTTCAGAGCCTGGACAGAGTTGTTTCAGAAATGGATGAATTGAGGCAAAGTGAGTAGCCAATAATTGATGGTCTTGCCCTTGATAGTTTAGGGCAACAAGAACTGTTTGGCACATCACATTTTAAGGCTTCATACAGACAGTATTGAGCCAGAGATTATAATATTCCAGTCTTTAGCCAGCAGAAATCAGCAGAGCTCTGTTTGCTTTTGCTAGTTAGGAGCTTCCTGATGTTGAAGTCATGATTCCCTTCCTAGTATTCTTCAACAACAGGATTCTGTTTCTACTTCATGTGTGAAGGAAAAGTTATGTTAGGTCACGCTTTGCTGGTGACTGACATGGCACTGTCCCTGCTTGTACCTACTCTGCTTTAACTTCACCTCTGAGAGAGCTGGGGCAAACTCCGGGGTTCAGGGGGCTCTGTTTTGTTGGGCTTTCACTGTAAGGGAATCAACTAATTCAGAAAGAGTTAAAATTGATTTACCCAGAAGCTGAAATTTACTTTATTTTCACTTCTAGGCCTATGAGAAACGCTTTCCTACATGCCCAGAGATCCCAGTCTTCCTGGGGAGTGAAATCCTGCACGAATCCAGGAGCGAGGATGGGGCCATCCATGTCATTGAGCGGAGCTGCAAGCTGAATGTGGATGCTCCCAGGCTGCTGAAGAAGGCAGGTGGAACCTCGGGAGCAGAGAGGCCTGCATTCTGTTGGCTGCCTCAGATAGATAAAGGCTCCTAAAGCTACTCTTGTCTCTCTGTGTTTGCCCCTCCTCTTCAGATTGCAGGGGTAGAGCATGTCTTCTTCATCCAGAAGAACACGGTGAACTGGAGAGAGAGAACGCTCCGCATCGAAGCGCACAACGAGACCTTTGCCAGCCGTGTGGTGGTCAGGGAGACCTGCAGCTACTCAGTGAGAGCCCTGCTGGGCTGTCTGTGCTGGGAGGGGGGAGCTGTGTGCTCACACACGGGGGAAGCTGCCTGCATGGTCTGAGCACCCCTGCAATGCTGGACTGGGATTAGAGACTCTGAGGCTGGAAAGGCTGCTGGGTCCCGAGTGTGGGATAGTTCAGTTGCTTTGGAGACACAAGACCAGGAGGAATGGCTTCCCACAGACGAATTGGACATTAGGAAGGAATTCTTCCTTGTGAGGGTGTTTAGGGCCTGGCACAGGGTGCCCAGAGAAGCTGTGGCTGCCCCTGGATCCCTGGAAGTGTCCAAGGCCAGGTTGGACAGGGCTTGGAGCAACCTGGGACAGTGGAAGGTGTTCCTGCCCATGGCAGGGGGGTGGAACAAGATGGGCTTTAAGGTCTCGATGATCTTAAAGGTCTTTTCCAACCTGGTGATTCTGTGTGTCCATCCAAACCATTCTGTGATTTCATAAGGCTTGAGAAACTTCTTCAGGTTGATTGTGATTCCCTGCTTGAAGTGAAAGTGGCAAACAGAATTGGTACTCCAGAACTGCTGGTATTCCCTCAGCTTCTTTTTGATTGAAATTCAGGCTGACAAAAACATCTAGAGCTTGGGCATGTCAATAAATCTGGATATCTAAATTAAACCCTTACTGTTCATTATTATAAGGCCCTGAGTGAAATCTGGCAATTTATTTTGCCCACAAATAAGTGAAAGTTTTAGCACCTTGTTTGTCATTTTCGTGCTCTAAAGATTTGGAGAAAGGACTTGAGCCTTATCTGTGGCCTGGACTGTCTCCCTCTGTGGCTGTTTCTGTGCTGTTTCACTGTACTGGTGCTCTGAGCACCCAGTCACCATGGAATAGCTCAGCTGTTTCTGAAAGCAATCAGATCCTGCTTGTCTTTCCTTACACAAATGCCCAGCTCCTGTTACTTACCTGCCCTTTTGGCAGCTGGACAGCAGCTCAGCTTCTTGGGAGTAAGCAGGCTGTGAGGAGCTTCAGGAGGAGGAGGAGTGGATAGGCTGTGAACATTTTGGATGGTGAGGGTGTTCCTGGGCCAGAGATCCCTTGGTAGCTGCCTGAGGCTTCCTAAAAACTGCTGTAAATCAAACTTCCATCATCATCAAAGGCACTGACAGGTCTGAAACGCTCCCAGGTCAACTCTGAGATTGTTACACTTGCTGATTTTGGCTGTGTCCTTAGGAAGGAAATGTCAGTATCTGGGCTTTGAGGGGAACAGGGTGGGAGCTGCTGGCTGCATCCTCAAGATGGTTCCCTGCTCTATTTTTACCAGTTCCCTTTTCCCTGCCAGAGTGCACCGGAAGCAGGTTTATTCTCATCTTTCCTTTTCTGCAGCGTTCTCTGAGGCAACTTGGAGAAATATGATCCTGCTCCTGCAGTTACTTAATATCTCCCCAGGGAATTTCTCTTTTATGATATCTTTCTGTGGGGGCTGGAGTTGTTTTTCTTTCCTGTCAGTTTATGAACAGCAACACCTGCAGAGAGAAGGCAGAGCCGTCTCAGGAAAGGGTTAAGTTGAAAAGAGGAATGGATTCTACCATATATAGAGCAACAGAGGGGAAATAAGGGAAAGGTGTGTGTTGAGCTGAAGATGGAGAAATGCTCTGCCGTGTGCCCAGTGTTTTGGGGAGAAGGCTGAGTCTCCCATCCAAAACTGAAAAAGAAACCCAGTTTGCATTTTTCTTCTTTGCTGGTGTAGGAGTTTTAATTGCATGTTCCACAGGGCCATCCCTGTCTTTCCATAAGGAGACTTTGACATGATGGCTTGAAGTGGGCAGTTCCACTGCTGTTTTTGTGCAGCTTTTGCTACTACAGTTCAGGTCTGCTGGGGCAGGGATGGGTTTAAATCTGGGTTTCCTTGTGCACGTGAAGAATGTTGGGTTAGCAAAAGTCTGGGTGTCCAGTTCACAAAGGGCTCTCACAAGAGGAATGGACCTGGCTGGTCACTGCAGGTGTGGCAGTGCCTCCTCTGCCCCCTCTCCGTGGCTGTGGAGGTTGAACAGCCAGTGTGGTGCCAGGGCCACGAGCCTCCTGTCCCCATCCCTCCTGTGTGTTGTGTTCCCCTGGCTGCAGGTTCACCCTGAGAACGAGGAGTGGACCTGCTTTGAGCAGTCAGCCTCTCTTGACATCAAATCCTTTTTTGGCTTTGAAAGCACCGTGGAAAAAATTGCCATGAAGCAGTACACCTCCAACATCAAACGGGTAAGGTGGGCTTCCCTGGCTGCCTGAACACCCCAGGCCCTCTATTTGCCTTGCTGTGAACAGACCCAGTGGAGTTTTGTGCCATTGCTTATGGCTCTGAAGTCCCTCAGCTGGGCAAGGGAAGGCAAAGCCAGTGTGCAAGGAGCACAGAACAGAGCTGCAGGGATGGAGCAGGCTGTGCCACAGGAGCACGGGGTGCTCTGAGTGCAGGGCTGCTGGACACTGAGGACACTCTTCTTGTGCAGAAAGGGAAGGTTCTTGGTGAAAACCACCCCCTGTGTCTCCAGAGCTTGGGCTTGGGACAGTGGCTCTGGGCTGCAGAGGAACAGGGCAGCTAATCGGGTTTGGGAGCAGGAGGGTGGGGTAAAAGTGTTGGAAAGGCAGCTGCATCCATGACTGGGGTTTGCCTGGCCATTAGTGTAATTCATCATTCACAGGGGGCTTTGATACTGGAGGTTTTTTGACAAGATCATGGGGATGGAAGGAGAGATTTCCCCTCTGTTTATCCTTAGCAACATCCATCATCTGTCCTGAGGAAACTCCAGTGCCTTGCTGGCTCTGGAGGAGGTTTTTCCCTAATGAGAGTTTTCCCCTTCAGGGCAAGGAGGTGATTGAGCACTACCTGAAGGAGCTGATCTCCCAAGGGATCACGTTCATCCCGCGCTGGAGCCCTCCCGCGGCACAGGAGGAGCGAGTCCCGGCGGTGGGTCGGGCCCCTGGTGACATCCCTGGTGACTCGGGGGCTGCTGGCAGCAGCAGGGAGCCGGCCGGCAGCCCCTGCCCGCCCCCCGAGCCTGCCAGCCCTGACGGTAGGCACTGCAGCTCTCCGGCAGTAGCGCTCACCAAGGAGCTTCGTTTAATTTCTCTTGGCACCAGGTTTTTCATCTGGAGCGTGGGGGAGGAGGGAAAGCTATTTTCTTTTTTCAAGGAAAATAAACAATGGAACTTTTTTTTTTTTTTTTTCCTAAAACAAAAAAACTGTGCAGGCAGTATGTTTTGGAGCTTAAAAAAAAAAAAAAAAAGTTTGACCAGCCCTTTAAGGTCTTCAGTATGCTGGAATTAAATGTTTTGTCTGTTCCAAATTAATATTCTTGGGGACAGGTTTGGATGGTTTTTGGCCCTGTATCAGGCCAAGACAAACTTGAGGAATGTCTCCTAAGGCATTTTTCCCACAAAATGCCTGAATCAAACTTTATCTTTCCGTGTGTTGGTCTGATGATATTTTCTAGACTAATAAAATACTTCTCTGGCAAAAAGAAATAGGAGGGACCTTTGAATCCAGAGCTGTTGTAATAGAAACAGTTGTTGTCATTCCTGAGAAGGAAAGGCAGCACTTGTTTTGCTGAGTGTAACTAGGCAAAAAACCTGGAATTTGGAAATATCAGTAGTTCTGCTCTCACCTGACATTGTCTGGGAGCTTTACTGGAGAAAGATGGTAATCCACAGAGAAGCTGATTAGGAGAAATTTTTGAGATTAATGTTGTCCTCAGAGTGATGGGTCCCAGCTAGCAGAAGAGGAGAGGAGTCCTTATTTTTCTGTCCGTATTCCTGCACAGGACAGGATTAGCTTCCCTGGGCCTGCTCCTCACCTAGCTAGCTCTGGGGGTTCCATGGGATGTCTTGCTTCCAAATGCAATTTCTCTGTTATCCTGCTTATCCTGTGGGTGTCCAGGCCTCCTTCTGTAGGTGATGGCATCTCCTGGAACCTTGTGCCAGCTCTGAGGTGTCCCCAGCCCTGCTCCCTATGTCTTCCACCCCAGCTTCTGACTGGGCTGCTTCCCCCAGCTGCCCTGTTCTGCTGGCTGGCAGCTGCCAGCCCTGGGTGACACATGCCCCTGTCCCTCGGTGCTGGCACTCACCAACCTCTTGTCCTTTGTCTCTGAGCTGGAGGGGCATTGAGCTGCTTGGTGTGCAGAGGACTTCTCCTCCTGCCAAAATCCTGCCTGGCTGTCAGAAATGTGCTGTTGTTCTCCCTTAGTCTCTGGTGTCCCTGGGCAGAATAATGGCTTGGTTTTCCAGCAAGCCACTTGTCACTGCAGTTGTGCATGAGATTTGGGACACATGGAGATGGAAATGCCCAGGTCTTGGAGTGCTTGATGACCTGAGTGCCAGAGCTCATGACAGGTCTTTTAAAGCACCTCCTGGAGCAATCCAGAGCTGAATGGAGTATAGGTGTTCCCAGAGCCAGGTGGAGTGATCCAGCTGTGATACAGCACGTGCTGCCTGTGGCCTTGTGCCCCAGTCTCCAGGAGAGTGTCCCTCCATCCCTCCCTCCCTCCCTCCCTCAGGCTGCTGGGATGAGGCTTCTGGGCAAATCCCCTGTAAATCACAGGGAGCCCAATGTTAGAAACACGTGCTCCCCTCCCTGCTGGCTGTGCCAGTCTGCTCTGAGTCGTTGTTTCCCCTGCAGCTGACAAGCTGGATGCTGATTACATCGAGCGCTACCTGGGCCAGCTGACCCCGATGCAGGAGAGCTGCCTGATCCGCCTGCGCCAGTGGCTCCAGGAGACTCACAAGGGAAAGGTGGGTAGGGCAGGCACTGAGGGGCACCCAGGGATCCCCAGCTGGGATGGGGAACCCTGGCTGCACAAACACACTGGGGAATGAGAGGCTGGAGTGTGACACCGCAGGAAATGACATGGGGGTCCTGGCTGATGTTGAGCTGAGCATGAGTCAGCCCTGGCAGCCCAAAGGGACACTGTGACCTGCAGGCACTGTCCTGCTCTGCTCTGTGCCACAGTGGCCTCACCTCTAGTCCTGGACACCACAGTATCAGAAGGATCTAAAGCTGTCAGAAAGTGTCCAAAGGGTGGACTTGAGGGTGGGGAAGGGTCTCAAGGGGAAGCCATAGGAGGAGCAGCTGAGGGCACTTGGTTTGTTCAGCTGGAGGAGATGGAGCACAGAGCTCACTGGGGCTGCAGCTCCTCCCAAGGGGCAGCTCTGAACTCTGCTCTCTGTGACCAGGGATAGGAAGTGGCTGGAGCTGTGCCAGGGGAGGGTCAGGTTGGATATCAGGAAAAGTTCTTCCCCCAGAGGGTGCTGGGCACTGCCCAGGCTCCCCAGGGAATGGGCACAGCCCCCAGGCTGCCAGAGCTCCAGGAGCGCTTGGACAGCGCTGCAAGGGGTGCACAGGGTGGGATTGTTGGGGTGTCTGTGCAGGGACAGGGGTTGGACTGGGGGATCCTTGTGGGTCCCTTCCTGCTCAAGAAAATTCCATGGTTCTCTGATTTTTCCCTGAGAAGCAGCACGGGCACTGAGGGACAGGTGTGTCTCTGCTCTGCTGGAATGTCCTGGGCTCCTTTTGGTTAAAGCAAAGTCTCTCTTAGACCAGCAGGAAAAGAAAGGATCTAGAGCAGCTTGAATGCCTCAAGAGGGGTTTCACTCCAGATTTCCTGATGGAGAGGGATTAGGAGGGAAGGAAAGAAGGACAAAGGATAGCACCAGAGAGAGTAGTTGGGTGGGCTGAGTAGATAAAGGGTGCTCAGGAAGAGGAGCAAGTGATCCTGCTTGGAAGCAGGGAACAGCTGGATGAAGTTTCAACAGTAAAAGCTTCCTGGCTTGGAAGGAATCAGCTAAGTCAGTCAGGATGGGTTAGGTCAGGTACTCTGCATTCCTGGGTTTGGGAAGATTTTCATTCTCTTTTCTTTACCTGGCCTTTCCAAAAAAGACTGCTGCTTACAAGGAGCTTTGCCAGTCCTGCATGCTGGGCTGTATGTCTCAGAGCTGAGCATGTCTCATCTGAGTACAGGGAGTCTGAACATGATTTGGAATGCTGTTTTTTCTTGGAAAAGTGAATGTGATTCACCTCTGTAGAAACAAAATGTGAAAGATTTAGTGCTATTGTTCTGCTGCTGTTGAACTCCTGAAGTTCCCTTGTGTGTGAGCAGGCACATGGGTTTTGTTGGTACCCAGGAATGTACCTGGGTACAGGATGGAGAAACAGCTCCCAGCAAACCTCAGTCTGAAGAGAAGGAGGTGTTGTGGCAGTGTGAGAGGCTCCCAGCAGCTGATGAGCTCCAGAAACCAACAGTGCTGTTGAATTGTGAGAGCTGATAAATTTCCACCCCCAAACATCTGCCAGAGCTGGTCCAGGCCACTGGTGTACAGTGGCATCAGCAGCAGCTTGGATAACTTGGACCAGAAGGGTGGGGGCTGCTGGGGGCAGGTAGAGACTGCAGGAATATATGTGTGATATATAATATATTGTATATATGCACACACCTGATGTAGCAAAGGGCCCTTGAAGGGCTGTGACACCTCCCTGGCAGCTGCTTTTGTGTCACTGTGATGCTCTGCCCCTGAGGAAGGAGCTGGGGCTGGGCTCCCAGCCAGCCAGGGGTGGTGAGTGAGCTGTGTGAGCAGGAGCAGCTTCACCAAGAGAAGGGGCTCTGCTGGAAGCTGTTTTTGGTCTGTGTCTGCCTGTGATCGAGCCTCCAGTCAGATGAGAGGCACGGGACAGGCAGGGATCAGTCCCCAGGTGTGACTGTGCTCTCAGAGAGGACAGGAGGCTTTTCATGGACACCTGAACAGTGAAGTGGTGTGGGCTCCAGTGGGGTGGGAGATCTCTCACCTAGTGGGTCCTGGGTGGGAGGACATCCCAAAGGCAGGGAGGCTTTGTCCCTGCTGTGACCTGCAAGGATCCTGCTTTCAGCTGGAACAGGCACCACCTAAACCTTTGTTTGGGTTGAAAAGTATCAACCCACAGGTTGGTTTTCCCCCTCCATGTCAGAGGCTGGAGAATCATGCTGGAAAAGGAAAAAGTGAGAGCACATAAGCAAAATGTGGAGCAGCTGCCCCTTGGGTGCTTGGAGCTGTGCAGGGAGTGGCAGCCCTTGTCCCCTGAGCTGTGCTGGGAGCCTTGGGAAGTGCAGCTGAATCCTGAGCTCTGGGGACAGTGGAGCTGCCTCAGGCCTTGTCCCCGGGAGGATGTGGGCACACAGGAAGGGAGGTGCTGGCTACTGAAACTTCATCTTGACCCCCCTGACTGCTCAGCTGCTTCTCCTGATTCCCTGACAGAGCAGGCCAAAATCAGGAGCTTGTCCTGCAAGGCTGGGGTTGTCCCTGGAGAGGCTCTTACCTTGCTGTGACAATCTGTTCTTCTAATTCAGAGCAGGGATGGCCTTATTCCTGTATCAGAAATTATCAAAAAATAGATCTCCTGTTTCTTGGAAAATGGCCCTTCTTATTTTTGTCCTCTGTCCTATTTCACTATCTTTTCCCCATTCCTTCCAAAGCAGACATTACCTTTACCATCAGATATGTTGTTGCTTAAAAAATCTGAGGAGTTGAAGGAACAAACTGTAAATGGTGTTAAAATTGCAACAACTTAAAGCTCTGTTCAAGGCTTTGCACCATGCAGGAGAGTGCAGCAGTTTTACCAGGGAATACAAAAGCAGGCTGAAATTAAACCTTCGTTTTCTTGCGTGTGGGAGTTACTGCTTTGGTTGGACAAGGATAAAAGTCTAATTCTGCTGTGGAATAAGTCTTCTTGGAGCTTCCTGCCTTTGGTCCAAACAGAAGTGCTGGATTTGCCTCTTGCCTGGAGCCGTGCACAGGGGAGGTTTGAAACAGGAAAATGATCAAACCTTCCAGCAGGCATCCCCTCTCCTGCAGAGACCCAGGAGCTGTTGTGGGTGTCTGGGCTGGGTCTCATGAGTGACAGCTGCCTCTGAGCAGCAGGAACACAAACCTGAATTATCTGGTGAACACTCTGCTGGCTTTAAACATGCTGTCGTACTGAATTCCTCTAAATACTCTCGAAATCATCTTTGGGAAGGCTGCCCTCTCCTTTCCAGGACACACAGATGCAGTGTTAGAACCAGTGCTAATTTCCCCCCTGCTCCTAAGGTGCTTTAGGATTTGTTGAGGCTGCCTGAGCTCTTTCCCTTCTTTAGGTGAGCCAGTTCGTACCATCTCTTGCTTGTGAATCCAGGATTGCTCCCTCCTGACACAGCTGCCAGCCATGCTTTCTATCCAGCTTTCTGTTTCCCTGAGCGTGGCAGTGTACAAACAAAGGAGCTTTGACTCCTGAACATGGGGATTTGTGTCCCAGCAGGGCTGGGAGTGCTTGGGTTGTGCTAACACAACATGGATACTCTGGAAGAGACAATCCCTGCTCCACAGAGCTGGAATTTTTTTATGGAAACTTGTAGAGAATGAGGCCAAGCACTTTTGGAGAAGTTGGAGTGAGGGGCTGTGAATCCAGCAGCACATGCAGCTCTAATCCAGTTGGATTTGCAGCTGACAGGCTCTTAGTCAGATTTGGCACTTCTGTGGAATCCATCAGGTTCGTTGTTAATTCCTGCTGCTTGGCACTCCTGCCAAGCTTTCTTTGATTCTTCAGCTAAAGAGAACATGGCAGATCTGGAAGGAGGTTGGAATAAGCCATTCTGCAGACGTGCTTTGGAAGGCTTTTGTGCCTGTGATGTTAGGATTAGTGCTAGTGCTGGGGCGAGAGATTGGGAGAGGGTGTGTTGTGGTTTGGGTTGATTTGGATCAAGAGTTATTGCGGTGTAATGGGGCAGGGAAGCCTTTGAAGCACTCAGCAGCTTTCCTGTTCAAGCACTGGCAGCAGGGCCTGCACAAGAGCTGGAGCTGGTACTGGTGGCATCATTCAGACTGCACAGTTGTGATTCCCTCCAGTGCCTGGCGTGCTCAGTGTGTTACCTGTGGCTGTTTGTTACCTGTTGCCATCCTGTGCTGATTTGCCCTGGGCAGGGCAACTTGCACCTCCCTGACTTGTTTACAGTGTTTTGGAGGTCCTTGTGGATAACCAGTCAAGGGAAACATCAACCAGCCTGGGGTTTGCTGGGGCTCCTGGGAATTGCACTGGGGAAGGGCTTCCCACAGTCAGTGAGCTCCTCCCTGCCTTTGTGCTCCTGGCACCCTCTGCTGCTTCCAGCTGGGTCAGCTACGGAGGGAGGGAGGCAGAAGGGAAGTTTAATGTTTGCTGTCTTAGTCTGAAGAGATTAAAAATTGTGTCAACGGTGCAGCCTCCTCTGCAGGCCAAATGGAGCATTCCAGTGCTGATCCTGGGGCTCTCTCTCCTGGCAGATCCCCAAGGATGAGCACATCCTGCGGTTCCTGCGCGCCCGCGACTTCAACATCGACAAAGCGCGGGAGATGCTGTGCCAGTCGCTGGCCTGGCGCAAGCAGTACCAGGTGGATTTCATCCTGCAGTCCTGGAGACCCCCGGCCCTGCTGCAGGAGTACTACACTGGGGGGTGGCACTACCAGGACAAAGGTGAGGAGCTGCCCCTGGCGCCTCACTGGTGGTCTGGGATGGTGAGGAAAGCTGCACTGACATTTTTAAAGTTAACAAAGCAGTTCAGTGCCTGTGAGTAGCCACGCTGCTTCCCTCTAATTGTATTCCCTCTGCACAGGTCAGTCAGTGCAAAGCAATTTCTCTGAACAGGTTGCTTTTAGCAGTGATTTTTATCCTTATGAAATATTTAATGTGGCTTTTTAAAAGGGTAGGGGAGTGATAGCCTGGTAGACTAAAGTGCTGCCCTCTCTGACCCCTCTGTTTTGAAGATGGGCGGCCGCTCTACATCCTGCGCCTCGGCCAGATGGACACCAAGGGTTTGGTGAAGGCCCTGGGAGAGGAATCCCTGCTGCGACATGTGAGCTGTGCCTCTGTGTGTCACCTCTTCCCCTCAGGGTGCTGGGAAGTCTTGTCATGGTGCATCAGGAATCCTGGAATGGTTTGGGTGGGAAGGGACCTTAAAGCTCATCCCATCCCACCCCCTGTCATGGGCAGGGACACCTTCCACTGTCCCAGGCTGCTCCAAGCCCTGCCCAGCCTGGCCTTGGACACTGCCAGGGATCCAGGGGCAGCCACAGCTGCTCTGGGCACCCTGTGCCAGGGCCTGCTCACCCTCACAGGGAACAATTCCTTCCCAGTATCCCCTCTAACCCTGCCCTCTGCTTTCTGTATTTTCTTTAAAATAAGATCTCCATGCCATCCTGATTACTCAGCCATTCTCTGGCTAATCCCTGTCTGTGATTGCAGGTTCTGTCCATTAATGAGGAAGGACAGAAGAGATGTGAGGAAAACACCAACATCTTCGGCCGGCCCATCACGTCAGTATCATGGGTTTAGAATTGGTTTTCCTGAGCCCTTGCAGACTCTCAGTGCCATGGTGAAGGATGCTGCTGTGGTTTGGGGTGATGTCCTTGGGGTTACAGTGCAGACAGCAGTGTGTCTTATGGGCTGGATGGGGACTACAGATATATAAAAATGTAGTTGTTTGACTTAAATGCAGAGAAATCCTGCAGTTTTGTTGAAAAGCAAGTATTGATCCTTCCTTACATAATTTTCATATCCCATCTCAGATTAATTTAATCTTTCTGTCTTGGTGATTTGGATCCACATCTTTGAAATTCTGGGGTTTTTTAATGCAGGAGCCTGTCTGCCAGATTCCACCTTCATTTAGAACGCATTTTTACATTATTTTTATCAAGAGGCTTGTATACCTTCACCTTCTTCCGGAGTGACAGATGTTCCTGCCCTTGGGCTTGGGTGTCTGTGTTACCTGGAGCTCACCTGGGTTCAGGTGTCTGCTGCCCGAGGGGAGATGTGCTTTTATTGGAACTGCTCGTGGCCCTTTTTGGCTTCCCTGGATCCTGCACGGGCTGTGGGGTTACTGTGGATCCTAAACTGAGCTGCCACCACACTCCAGAGTTCTGACAGGTCTTTTTCTGTTTATTTCAGATCCTGGACATGCCTGGTGGACTTGGAAGGGCTCAATATGAGGCACCTCTGGCGGCCTGGGGTGAAGGCCCTGCTCAGGATCATTGAGGTGGTGGAAGACAACTACCCTGAGACCCTGGGGAGGCTCCTGATCGTGAGAGCACCACGGGTCTTCCCTGTGCTCTGGACCCTGGTGGGTGAAACCTGGGCTCTGCAGGGTCACTGCCACTTGTGCAGGTTCACAGATCAGCAGAGGCAGGGAGGGAAAATCTCCAGGCAACTTATGGGGAGCTCCTGAAGAGCCACAGCAGAGCCATGGGGTGCCTGTAGCTCACTGGGTTCTGGTGACTGCCATCCACCAGGACAGGATGAGAAACCTGCATTGGAATTGCCAATTCCACCCAGACTTGGTGGGCTTTCATATATAGATGGGAAAGACATACCTTTTAATCTCCTGCTGTAGGACATTGAAGGGTAGTAGTAGTAAATAATAAATCTGGTTCTGCCTGGTGCCTGCTGACTGCTCTGGCAGTGTGAGAACTTGGTTGTTACATTTCTTGTGAGGTTTGTGGGTGAGGCAGTGACTGCAGACTTCCTTTACATAAAGCAGAAGGTGTTGTGAGATGGTGATAGAGAGAGAAAGAACATTTTCAGTTTGTTATCCCTCTCTTTGGGAAGTGCCTCAGAGCTGTGAAGCTCTGCACACTGCTGAGACATTCCAGGCTAGAGCCTGAAGCATCATCATGAGGTGGCTCAGACAGCGTCTCCAGCTGCCCTCGGTGACAGCCATGTCCTGTGTGCCCTTTGTCTTTCAGGTCAGTCCCTTTATCAATGAGAACACACGGCAGAAGTTCCTCATCTACAGTGGCAATAACTACCAGGGCTCAGGAGGGCTGGTGGACTATGTGGACAAGGATGTGATCCCAGACTTCCTGGGAGGAGACTGCATGGTGGGTTTTCCTTCCTCTTGTGCAGGTGCAAAGTGGAACTGATTTCCTCTTCCTCACTACCCTGGCCCTCCACTGCCTTCTGGAAGGGGTTAAGCCTCTGTGCTGGCCAGCATGCCCGTGCTGTGGGCACAGAGCAGTTCATCTGGTCACAGAGAGCTGTCCCTTGCAGTGCTGGTGCTGTCCTGGGATCCTGGAGCAGGGGCAGAGGGCAGCTCTCTACAGGGAGCTCACATAAACCTCAGCAGTTCCAGTGAGCTCAGAGCCACTGTGCAGTTCTGGCTCAGCTGAGGGGTCAGCCCGTGTCTGACAGCCAGCAAGAGTTCCTGGTTCTCTGCTGGAACACCCTGAGCCTCCTGTTTGTGTGTCTGGCCATTGCAGTGCACTGTCTCAGAAGGGGGGCTCGTCCCCAAGTCCCTGTACCAGACCGAGGACGAGCAGGAGAACTCGGATCACATCCGGCTGTGGACAGAAACCATCTACCACTCTGCAAGTGTCCTCAAAGGAGCCCCCCACGAGGTACAGAGCACGGCTTGAGCTGCTGGCACAGTGACATGTGTCCCCTCTGCTAGGGCTGCCTGGAGCAGCCAAGGGCTCCCAACACAGGGAGCAGCAGAGGGCTCGGCAGCAGCTGCTGTTCTGCAAGGGAGCAGCTGCAATGTGGGAGTGAAGAGCAGCAGTTTGAGCAGCAGTGTCTCTTATCTCTGCTGTGTTCTGTTCTGGAAGGTCCAGTCTCTTTCTCCTCCCCCACCTCCTCCTCTTGGGAGAAATAAAGGGCACTCAGTTCCCCTTGTGATAGTTCAGCTCCCAGCTGAATGGAATTATAGCTGGGACTGGGACAGTAATGGGGTGATAAAGGAAGGTGTGTGCTGGGAACTGCTTGATGGGAGTCATCAGGAAACAGGATGTCCCAAAAAGGAGCAAATCGGTGTCAGATCAGTCTTCTGGCCTCTCTGATGGGGGGTGACTCTGATTTGGCTCTTTGTGCCTCATTTCCACTGAGGTTTTCCTGGAACAAGGAACTCATTTACAAGCAACTCTGATATGGGGAGAAAAGGTAAAAACACCTGAGTGGGTGTACTGTGGTAGGGTTGGGAGTGGGAGTTGGTGTGTGTCCCCCTCCATCGGGCAGCTGAAGGATTGTGGAGCCAAGTCTGTTTGCCCCAGAGTGGGGAGGAACACACTGCTGCCACCTGAGCACCTGACCCTGGGGGCTTGTTCTGTTCCTTTCTTAGATACTCGTGGAGATCCTGGAAGGGGAATCTGTCATCACCTGGGACTTTGACATCCTGAAGGGAGATGTGGTGTTCAGCCTCTTCCACTCCAAACGAGCTCCCGAGCCAAGTCACAAAGAAGCCACATCACCAAGTCCCTCTGGTGCAGGGGACAATGTGCAGCTCATTGACAAGACCTGGGTGCTGGGGGTGGATTACAGCCGGGTGGAATCTCCCCTGGTCTGCAGGGAAGGAGAGAGCATCCAGGTGAGAGGGGTTGGGGTCCTGCCATGGCTTCAGAGTCCTGCCAGCTCAAAGTGGAGTGGTAGGGAGGGAATTGATGGTGTGGGAAATCAGGAACTGCTAGAAAGGGGGGCTGTGGTCATTTCCCAGCAGCAGGAGGGTGGATTCTGCCCCACTCAGGTGAGACCTCACTTATAGTGGGAGGGGATGGAATGGGATGAGCTTTAAAGTCCATTCCCACCCAAACCATTCTGTGATCATTTTCTGGATACCCTTTGAAAGTGGGAAATCCTTATTTAGAGTGAGTCATTGGAAAGAGACTCCGCTGGAAAGCTAAAATTCTTATGGAAATTAAGCTAAATAAGGCTGTGTCTCAGGGAGGTGAGACAGGTGAATGACCCCTGTGCTGGGTCATTCAGCCATTCCCCCAGACAGCCGTGGTCACCTGCTGTCCCTCCCTCTGTGCAGGGGTCCCATGTCACTCGCTGGCCTGGCTTTTACATCCTGCAGTGGAGGATGCACGGGCCCCTGCCCTGCTCCAGCTCCAGCCTGCCCCGTGTGGACGATGTCCTGGCCTCCCTGCAGGGCTCCAGCCACAAGTGCAAGCTCATCTACTACTACGAGGTGCTGGCTTCCAAGGACTTCAGGTAGGGCATTTACAAGGGGTTTACTACGAGTTGCACTGAGTGTGAGTTAAACACTTGGATACCAGAGACCCCCACAGGGGATGTGTTTCACTGACAAGTGGATGGACACAAAATTGGTGCTGTAGATATTTAAAAGTTTCCTTGAATCTGTGTCCACCAGTGAAATTTGTGCTTTGGGTCTTGCTTGCAGCTGCCTGAAGAGCAGGAGATTTCTGACTCAAGAGGGTTTGTATCTTAGTTGAGAATATTTTGAGAAGCTGCTTTTGGAGTGATTTAAGTATCAGCTGGGCTATTTTTCCCAAATGGGTTTTTTTGCACTTGAGAAGGATGAGCATTTCTGAACAGGTGAACAGCCAGCCTTGGCACCGTGTGCCTGGCCCCCTCCTTCAGTGGCAGAAGCACCTCCCCATGTCCTGTTAATCTGAGCTCTGTGCCAGTCCTTGGCCCTTCCCTGGAGCTGATGGAGGCATTGGGCAGAGCAGGCCTGAAGGTGGCAGCTTGAGGTATGACCTGGTCAGGTCCTGGGGGGTCAGAGCAGCAGAAATGCCTCACTGCAGTCATGCTCTTCCTTGGGGCTCTTCCTGAGCCCAGCCTGCTTTTGGCAGGAGGAGCTGGAGATGCTGAGTTGGGACTCTGGTGTTCAGCAGCCCGGAGTCCTTGGGTTCACAAATGCATTTGGAGTGCTCTGGAGCTTTCCTTTCTCCTCAGGGACAGCTCCCAGAGGCTCCAGCTGTGTCCCTTTCCCCAGAACAATAGTCAGAGACAAGGAATAATATCTGTAAATGGGAAAAAATGTCTCTGACTGATTAATTTTTCGTCATGACAATGATGAATCTCTAAGAGATTCTTAGAGAGCGAGTGGGACATGATGGGCCAAAAAGCCCTTGTGTAAGTGTTAGAGAGGGGAGCTGATCTGTGGGAGGAATCCCTCAACTGCAGCCTTGCTAACAGCACATCTGTTCTGTCCCATGCCAGGGGATCCATGTCCAGCCTGGAATCTTGCACCAGTGGCTTTTCCCAGCTGAGTGGAGTCACCACATCTTCCAGCCAGTCCCAGAGCAGCTCCCACCTCTCCAGATAGCAGAGCCAAGGCTCCAGCAGCAGGGGCACCCTGGGGCTGCTCCAGCCCCAAACCAAAGAGCTCCAGGCCTGAGCTGTGGGGCAGTCACAGCCATTTGGACACACAGAGGCCTCTGGGGGCTGCTTCAGCCACAGAAACTGAAATTCCAAGGGCAGGTTTAGGAGTTTTGGGTCAGCTGCCTGCTTCTCAGTAGCCTCCTTCACCACCTGTGGATTTTGGGTGCCTGTGAGTTTGCAGGAATCCACTTCCCTCCAAAGGGCTCTTCCCATGGGTTCTTTTCCAGCAGAGGAGGCTGATGTTGCCTTACCTGTTGGACCTTTAGATAATTCCTGGGTGGCAAAACTAAGGGAATGTCCTGGCTGCCCACGGGGTACTGGTTCCACACTGGACAGTCAAGTGGGCATTCCAGAGGCAGGGCCTTGGAAGGAACTGCCAACACCTGGGTACGGGCAGGATGGTTCAGAAATCACTTCCAGGCCAAACCAAAAACCTCTTCTGGTCTGGCAGGATGCTCTGGGAAATGTGTTGGATTTTTTTAACCCTGCTGAGAAACAAAGTCAAAATGGTTTTTTTTAGAAATTCCAGGCATTGAATCTGCCTGCAGTGAGTGGCATCTTCCAAACTATTGTTTCTTTTTACTCAGGTTTACAGCAATAATGAGCAGGTCTGTCCCATTCCCGAGTGGATGGGAACTGAACCCAGTCCTAAAGGGCTAAGAAAAGCAATATTTGATTTCCTGAAGGCACAAGATTTTCTGGCAGTATTACAGAACTTGCTTCTTTTAAACATGAGCTCACTTGAAACCATTCAGAGAGGCATGTATGTATGTAAGCACTTACTGAAGCCTATTTATTCTATACAAGCTTATTTTAAATTAATTTTTAACTTATTATGTCAGAAATTACTATTTATTAAATACAGTCACCTTTTTTAATGGGATGAACTTTGTTTTAGAAAGGAATAACTGATTGTCTTCAATCCCAAGCAATCTTTCTGCTTGGGTCCTGATATTTGTGATCAATGGATGTTTTTGCAAAAGGGCTGCATTGGGGTAAGGGCTTGTGTCACCTTCTTTGCAAGGAAAGGTGAGAGTCCAGTGCTTTTTTAGACTGTTTTTTAGGATTAAGAAACAAGGATTGAGTTCAGGAGTTGTCATGAACTTCCTACACACCAAAAATGCCACATTTGTCCCTAATCTCTGGTTGTTCCTGTAGTCAGGCTGGGGAGCAAAGTTATCCATGTTCTTGTCCAGGTGAAAAGAGACGAGAGCACATGTCAAATACTCACCAAGTTTTTATTCAGGAATCTGTGAAGTTGCTCCTTCCCACCCTGATTTTTTTAATCACTGATTTTGAAGTACCAGGCTCTGCCAAAGGAGAAAAGAGCCAAAATATTTGGGACAATGGGAGACAAAGAACTTGACATGGTTTTGAGTTGTTTGGTGGGGTTTTTTAAGGATTGGAGCCAAGGGAATCACTCTGCACCTTGCATCTCTCCCTGTAAACAGGTGACTTTGTTAGGAGAGCTCAGGGAAGTTCTGATTTCCAATTCTCAGTTGTTCCATAGACTTTAATGATTCTCCCAGACAAATGAAACTTCTGTCTCTGGCATTTCAGCATAACTGGAGTCTGATAAAGAGGGACAAATGTAAATGTAATTCCCACCTTTCCCCTGGAAAGTCAGGAATTCTGGAAGCAAAAGTGCATGTGTGTATCCCTCATTGAAAATCCTTGACCAGAATAAAATCTAATTCTAGAAACAGTTTCAGACTCCCAAAGCCCCAGCCCTGTCCCCCTGTGCTGTTTCAGGATTTTACCTTCCCTTCTCACATGGTTGCTCACATCCTCCAGTGGCAGCATTCCTGTTCCCTGGGTTTGCTCTGGGTAAGAATCTCTTCCTTTTCTCTGGGTTTTTTGGGTTTTTTTTGTAATTTTGTTTTGAAGTGTGGGATATGCTGTTTTCTGCCCACCAGAAGTTTGACTTTTGTCAGTGAAGCACCTGGAACTTGGCCCCTGACAGATCTCTGAAGGGTCAGGTCAGGGGTGGCTCCACAGAGTGTTCCTGGCTCTGGGGATATTCCAATCCCAGTTTTTCCTATTGTCCCTTGGCAGTGCCACTCCTCTGCCCATCAGATGTCATGCACAGGTTTGTGAGGCAGCTTGTGACCTCTCCTTTGCAAGGCTGCATGGGTTATCCCACCTGACAATTTACTTTGAAAACAATTTCAATAGTTCTTTTTTTTTCCCATTTTCTCCTGAATATTAACAGGAGGAAGGGAGCAACAGCCTGGGTGCTGTGCTGTGCTTTCTAAACCTGACCTTGTGAACTGCAGATACCAGAGACACAGAATTCTCCTACATCACCTTTTCCCCCTCAAACGCCATCAGTGTGCTTTAGAAAATAAACTCAAGAGTTTTCTTCACAGTGAGCTGAGTCTGGGAGGGATTTTGGATCCTCAGAAATCTCCTAAGCCAGAACCTTGGGAAATGGGCTCATTTTGGGTGATGCAGCAAAGCCCTCCCTGCTCCCTCCCCAGCAACGAGGCCAGTGAGCTTGGGCTGTGTGCAGGGAAGGAGCTGCTGATTAAAAACTGGCTTCCAGTAAATTGGGGCTCTCCCTGGTCCAGATATTCCCTATGCAAACACAACACCTACCTCAGAGCTGGTGCCATGTCCCGTGGTGGCAGGGGAGTGCAGGATGCTGTGCCAGAGGTGGCAGTTACATACAGCCAGATGTGACACCTCCATTGCCAGAATTCTCCGGGTTTGCCCCATTCCCTGGGCTCTGTCCAGGGCTGGGAGGGCAAACACAGAGCCCTCGGCTGTGGTTCAGGGCAGTCCTGAGGCACGTTGTGCTGCTCTCCGCTGTGGAAAGGGCTCTGTCCCTGCCGGAGGAGGAGGAGGGCTGAGCCCCGGGGCACCAGGGCGGCTCCAGCCCCGCAGGTGTCACCACTGCCGGCTGCCAGGGCAGCTCCCCTGGGAGTCGGCTCTGGGGGCTCTCTCAGGGAGGCTCAGGCATTCCTCAGCTCCTGAACTCACTGTTGGAAACAGAATTCCCAACGGTGAGCAGACCAGGGAATCCTGAGTGACTGAGATGCAGCTGTGCTCCTCTGCTCAGCCACGTCGGTTCTGTTCCTTTCAGGAACTGTGAATACCAATTTGTAATCCCAGTTTGGTTTCTTGGCAGAAGATTTTGAAATGCCATAATCCACTCGCAGTTCCCAGTAGGAAGTGGGGGGCCCAGCTGCCCACCACACTGGGCTGGGGAGCTGCTGGGGCTGAGGCCAACCCTGCTCCAGGCAGGGAATCCCTCATTTCAGAAAGCATTTTATGAGCTCACACTGCTTTAATGTCCCAAATGTTTGTACTGTGAGCAATTAATGCAAGGAACAGCTATTAGAGACTTACTTGACAGCAGCTGTCAAAGATTTTTGCATGCAATTAGCTTTAATATTCCTCCAACACCTGTGTGATGCTCCTTTCATCTGATTATTTCTCTCTTGGAAGGTGAAATCGGAGTCAAGTCACATTTGCTGGCTTTTAGTGACACCAACACCCACTTCCAAGATTTCAGTTACACCTAAGTTAAATGGGCATTAATTAAGTTTTTTAGCAGTACTTACTTTCTCTCCCTTGCAGCTGGCTTTGGTTTTATACACTGAAATCCTCATTTTTCTCAGCCAAAATCCTCAAACCTCCTGTAAGAGCCCACTGCAGGGCACTGAAATAACAAACAGATGTTCTCCTATGACGGTGTCTATGTGTCCTGGTAGAGCTGTACTTTTGGGTATGTGGGAAATAAAACATCTCTGAGAACATGTGGAATTGTTTGATTCAACTGTTGAAATTGCAGGACAGTGAAAATTCAAGTCTGTGTGCTGCTCTCTTTGCCTCCAGAAGCAGAAGTAATGCTTGTATTCACTTTTTCCTGCTTTTTAACTAGAACATTTGGGCTTTTTTTCTACAGAACCAGCATATTTTGCTTAATTTCCTAGCACAGAGTGGGCTGGAACAGCACATCCTGCAGTGTGGGTGTTATTAAAAATAAAAGAGCCCCTGGGTTCCACTGGGTGGCTGAGGTTAACCAGGAAAGGATCAGCTCCTTCTGCAGCTGCACATCAGAAATTTTGAGTTTCAGGCAGGTAGCACTAAAAGACTTTATTCAAGTTTCAAATAAACTTCTGTAAATCATAGAAAAATAGTGTCTCTTGGTTACAGGCTGATTTGGTGCCAACACTGGCACAGAAAATACACATCCTTTACTTGGAGAGGTAAAAAGGGAGTGAGTGCATAAAGATGTGTGGGGCTCAGACAGGCTCTCACCCCTCTGCAGCATCCAAGGGGCTCGTCCAAGGCTGGTTTCCCTCACGGGGAAGCAAACTCAAACACTTTGAATGGAACTGCAAATTTGTGTCCCAGATTTCCAGAGGAGGTGCTCGGGATCCTGGCTGGGCTGGAGCCCTTGCTGGTCCCTCTGAGGAGTGCCCAGCTGGGGCAGGGCAGCCCAGTCTGTGCCATGCCAGCCATGCCAGGCTCTCCCTGTCTGTGCCCTTCCCCAGGGGGGCAGCTCCAAGCTGTGCCAGGGTCCCTCACCCACGGAGCTGGGCAGAGCCTTTGGCTCCTGGGAGCTGGAGAGATGCACAAATGGAACCTGGGAACCAAGAGGACTTTTTTTGGTGCTGTGCTGCAGGAGCTGCCCCAAAACACAGCACTCATCACCCTCTAGGGCTGCTCTGGCCTGAGGATTGGTCAGAAAACACTCCAGCCCTGCAGGACTGCATGTCACCCCACGTGTCACACCTGAGCCACCACCACGGCCAGGAGAGGAGGGCTCTGCTGGCACTGGGTGCTGCACCTGCTTCAACATTTTAGAACTTTTGGTCACTTTTCTGATTAAAATCTGAGCTTAGCAAAGAAGGGCAGACACTGACTAATACCCTTAAGCCCAGCTTTGTATTAGAGGCAGTTTAACTAGCATCTTAAAAAGCACTGCTCAGGTGAGCAGGGATCTTTCAGAGGTGCCTGTGACTTGCATCCCTCACCTGTTTCCCTCAAGGTCTGGAAGGAACCAGCCCATCTTTCCTGCTGCAGCTGTGGAATTCCCTCACCCAAGGGATGTCCTGCATCCCCTAATGCTGCAGTCCTGGGTGCTGTGGCAGCAGAGGAAAGGAAACCACAGCCTCAACAGGGCAGTTCTTGGGCTAAGGTTCCCCATGGGAATAGCCCCAGTCGGTGCAGAGGGGCAGTGCAGGGTGAAATACCTCATCCTATCCATGATTCTAAAGGAACTCTTGGTTTGGGTCCTAGGTGTCCTCGGGCTCCTGAGTGTCCTCAAGCTCCTGAATATCCTCCTGGTCCCAGGCAGCAGAGGTGGGGCTGTGAGGGGTGTCCCCGTTGATGTCCTTCAGGGGGTGGTAGCGATAGTCCCGGTCCCGCTGCTGCCGCCGCCCCTGCAGCACCAGCCCCACGTTCCCCAGCGCACTCAGCACAAGCAGCAGGGCCAGGGCAGAGC